TAAGAGCACCTATAGAAAGGTTTTATTAAGACTAGTTAGAGCCTATTTACCTCTCCTATCCTGTGCGTTAAGAAGCTAAATAGAGGCCTTAGGATCTGTGTAGATTACTATAAGCTTAATAGCTTAACGCGAAAGGACGCGTATCTAATACCCTATATAGATAATCTATTATCCTAGCTAGCTAAAGCAAAAATCTTTACTAAGCTAGATATTTATGCTGCCTTTAATAAGATCTAAATAGACCCTAACTTAGAGGAGTACACTACTTTCTGCACTAGGTATAGTGCCTATAAATGCAAAGTCCTACTATTTAGGCTGTGTAATAGACCTGCAACCTATTAGCGCTATATAAATGATATACTAATAGATTATTTAGATAACTTCTATATTACCTATCTAGATAATATCCTTATCTACTCTAAAGATCTTGCTACTTATAAGGACTATATTTAAAAAGTCCTTAAGCGTCTTTATTTTACTAGATTATAGGCTAATATTAAGAAAAGCGAATTCTATATAACCTATACCTGTTACCTTAGATATATCCTTACTAACAAAGGCTTAGAGGTAGACCCTAACAAAGTTAAAGTACTCTAAAACTAGTCCGCTCCTAAGACAATAACTAGAGTAAAGTCCTTCCTAGGTTTTACTAGATTCTACTAGCAATTTGTAGAAAATTTCTCTAAGATAGCTAAGCCCTTAACTACTCTCTAGAGCCCTGCTACCCTATTTATATAGACTTTAGAATGCTAACAAGCCTTTAACTAGCTTAGGAATGCCCTGCTAGCAATCCTAAGCTTAGCTTACTTCTATCCTAAGTACCCTCTAAAACTAGAGATAGACGCCTCTAATAGAGTTATTATAGCTATCCTCTTATAGGAGTATCCTAATAGGAAATAGTACCCTATATCCTTCTTTAGTTAGACCCTTACTAGTTCTAAACTTAACTAGGAAATCTATAATAAAGAATTATTTATAATAATCTACGCCTTTAAAAAATAGCATACTAACCTAATAAGTACTTAGCACCTTATTAGAGTATACACAGACTATAGAGCACTAGAGTACTTTATATCTACTAAAGTCCTTAGTGCTAGGTAAGCTAGATAGCTAGAGGTTATAAGTCCCTTTAACTTCTAAATTAAGTATACTCCTAGATCTTATAATACCTAAGCAGATATCCTAAGTAGAAGGGAATAGGATATAGTTAACCTTAAGACTACTTAGAGGGATAATTATTTATAAGTGATAATTGCCCTAGATAGGTTACACCCCTAAATTAACTCTAACTTAGCGCAAGACTACCTAGCTAAGTGTTCCTTACTAATCCTTACTTTAATTATAGTAGTTTAGAACCCTATAACTCTTAGATCCTTAGAACTTATTAAAACTCTTCTCTAAGAAAATAGGTCCTTATTCCTAATAGAAAGATTAGAGTTGCCTAAGCACTATTAGATAGAAAATAGACTCCTTCTCTACTAGGATTAACTTTGCGTGCCTACTAGATTAGTCCTATATACTAGACTAATTTATAAGGCTTATAATTAAGTATCTACTACCTACCTATTAGCTACTAAAACCTATTAGATTCTAGCCTAATATTACTACTAGAAAGGTATAGAGACTACCTATAAACGCTACGTTTAGAACTGTATCCTATGTAGGAGAGGGCACCTAAGACAGCACTAACTCCCTAGCATGCTCTACCCCCTTCCTATCTCTAGTCTACTAATATAGCACCTGTGTATTAATTTTAAGGATTTTCCCTAGGATTAACGTGGTTACAATTAGATTATAGTTATTATTAATTGCCTATTAAAGCAAGCTATTACTATCCCTTGCCACAAAACTATAGACGCCTAAGGTATAGCTACCTTATTTATTTAGTAGGTGTACTAATTTAGACACACTCTAGATACTATTATTTCTAATTAAGGCCCTTAGTTTATATCTAGTTTCTAGTCTAAGTTCTATTAGATTATAGGCACTAAAATTAAGCTCTCTACTACCTACTATAAATAAACTAATAGATAAACTAAAATTATAAACAAGTATATTAATTAGAGACTAAGGCCTTTTATATCCTATTACTAAGATAACTAGAGCAACCTACTACCTATAATAGACTATGCCTAAAGTACTCTTCTATATTTATCTATTAGTATAGCTCTATATTAGCTCCTCTTTAGTTCCTTACTAAAGTAAAGTTAGTATTAGAAACTAGAAAAGACCCTATCTACTATACTAGAGAAACTAAACCACAAGGACGCCTTATCCCTTACTACTTAGATATATAACGCCTAGAAGATTACTAAAGAAAATATAGAAAGAGCTTAAGACTAAATACGCTCTACTACTAATTACTATTACTATCTAGTTAACTAGAAGGTTAGTAACTATAGTTATCTATTTACTACTAATCTTACTATTTTATAACCTAGCTAAAAACTATCTAAATAATAGGAAGGTCCCTTTAAGGTATTAGAATAAGTAAGAAACGCGTATTACCTCTAATTACTACCTAGTTCTAAGATCTATAATATTTTCTCTCCTAATATACTATATAAAGATCCCTAAGACCTATTACCTAGATAAGAGGCTCTAAAACCCCCTAGTACCCCTATATAAGGTGTAGAGGAATAGAAGGTAGAAGAAATCCTAGCTAGTAAATTATATTAATCTAAGCTAAAATATAAGGTTAAGTAGGTTAGATATAATCCTAATCTTATTTAGTATCCTACTTCTAACTTTATAGGTGCTCCCTATAAATTATAGGTATTCTACTAATAGTATCTAAATTAGCTAGGTCCCCTACGTAGCTTACTAAAATAGATTTAAGCCTAGGAAAAAGGTAAAGAGGATCTAATATTACTTTATAATAATTATATCTAATATTAGAACTAATTTATATCCTATTTAGCTATATATTAGGCTATTAACTACTATCTATTACTATTATTCTTATTACTATTTATTATTATATCCTATTTAGAACTAACCTAGAACCTTTAAGGTTCCTAGGACACTACCCCTAGGAAACCTCTTTATTCTATATCTATCTCTCTATTAGAACCTAGTTTAGACTCTATATTAGCTAAGATAGCGCCTAGACTATCTTTCTTAGCTAGCTTCTAGATAACTAGTGCAGTAGGTGTAGGAGCAGGTGCAGGAGTAGGGGTAGGAGCTAGAACTAATTTAGACGCTTTCTTATTAAGCGCCTTTATCTTAGCCTATACTACAAAGGTTACCTCTTAATTTAGTGCTATTTCCTCTTTAAGTTTATTAATAGCCCTTATTAAGCCCCTAACTACTAAGACTATCTTATAAATACTATTCTAAAGCTAACGTAAATTAGATATAGTAGTATAATATATAGCTATAAGGATCTTAGCAGCTTCTATACCCTTAGTCTAAGTATTAGTAATAGTAATATACTTAGCTAGGTTTTAGGTAGTTTCTTAAATAGTAGCCTTAAACTGCTTAATATCCTTCTAATAAGTAACTATAGCTTCCTTATCCTTATCCCCTTTAGCAGGGTTTGCTACTAAGCTATAGTACTTATCTAGAGCACCCCTAAGGGTAGAGTACTCTTAGCTAATAAAAGAAGGAATCTACTAGAATTAGTAAAGGAACCTTATTAGACTTAGATACTTACTAGATTATAATACTTATTCTAGGAGATATAGTACTAGCACTTCTTAGAATTCTTTAACTTAAAATTAAAATTATTAAACTTGCCCCTAGCTAGAGCCCTAACTACCCTTATATAGAGAGCGCGATAAGCAATAGGGAGGACTCCTAGTAGTACTAGTACTAGCATAGCTAAAGGTTCTAATTTAGATTAGCAACTATTTAATTATATAGATTAAATACTTACTAGATTTTAGATAGATTAGGTTAAATATTTAAAAATTAGGGATATAGGAATAAGAAAGTTAGTAGGTAGAGGGCTAGTTATATGTAGGCTAGGGATAGGGGTCTGTGCCCTAGGAACAAGAAGTAAAGGTAAAGGCAGAGGTAAAGGTAGATTTATTTAGCAAGAGCTTTTCTTTAATAAGGGATCTAAACCTAATCCTAAGGATAGGGACTATCCTTTCTCTATAGGAGGGGGTAGTATAATAATAAGGTAGAATTACCTACCTATTACTCTATACTAAGTTAGGCCTAATAAAGGCCTAACTTACTAATATATATAGAGAATAGCTTACCTATAGTTAGAATAGGTATATTCTTCTTATCCTTTTATATAAGACCTATAGGTGTAGGAATCTTATCCTTTTCTATATAGACGCGCACTCCTATATACCTTTAAGTTATATAGGATACCTTTTAGATGCCCTACCTACCTAAGTTATTACACTAATTAGCTAAAAGGTACGTATAATAATACTTAAGCTAAGTATTTCTTGCATAGTATAATATGTAACAAGGCTAGGCTAAAATAGCTAGCGCTTACTAGATACCTAGGCTAGACTTAAACAAGGTTTATAGGTTAGCGCTAGGGTCTAGCACTATTATCTTAGGCTGTTTAGCTAAGATATATATATTATACTATGCAAGGATTACTTAGCTTAAGTATTCTTGTGCGTACCTTTTGGACCATGGCCAAGTGGTACAGGCAGGGGAGATGACGTAGTATTCATTTCACAGGCAGGGCGCCTACCTTGTTACATAATATATATCTCTTAACAGATAGCAGTGCTAGACCCTAGCACTAACCCTAGAACCCTGTTCTAGTCTAGCCTAGACCTCTAGTAAGCGCTAGCTATTTTTGTTATAGCCTAGCCTTGTTACAAATCTTACGTAAGACCCTACGGCCAGCCTAGTCATTAAACATAAGATAGGCCCGAGTTTCGGCTCTACGAGAAGCCTAACGAAGCTCGAAGAACCGTGCTTGAAAAAGACGAATATCCGATGTAGTTTATAAATACTTGCTCCCGCTCTACAGTTTCAATTTAACACCCGTTTTTCTCACCGATTTCAACCGCAGACGTTTCAACATGAAGCCCGTTCTTTTTGTCTCTGTCTTAGCTCCAGCTCTAACGGTAGCACAAACATACTGCGACAAAGGAGCGCAATTGCCCGTCGGAATACTAAGATGTCTGGTATGCATTGTTCCCTCTTATCACATTATGGAGCACTAATAAGAGTAGGGCCCGACCACTTCCCCATACTGTGTATGTTGTCTCGACAATTCCACATGCTAAAGTAGAGTTCTAAACTTGTATAGTGTGTTTCTACGCCAGATAAGACACTGCGCCTCCGAAAAAATTGTGAATTGCCAGTTGAAGTATATGGTCTCAAGCACACTAAAGCTTACTGTATTGGTGGTGTAAGTTTTAATATACCTTGTCTTTTTGTTACAATTGTACTGATTACTCAATGTAGGGATTGTTCCAATGCGTAAGAACTTTTGTTACCGAAACCACCAGAAATGTCGTACTAAAAATCCAACAGTGTGACTGATAAACCGCCCAGGGAAGTACAGGTTCTTTGTCCTGTTGCAAAAAACATGTCTGGAGGAAGGATGGTAAACAATAGTAGTGAAGAAAATCTATCCAGCTCTTGGAGCACAATACATATTTCCCAGCAAAAGAACTCAAGATATGTGGCTACTCGTAGCACACAATCCCTGCATCTAATCTTTCCACAAACTCAGGATATTGACTAAACACCAGCTGAATTGCTTGCTGACTCACAAGAATCTACCTTCTCAAGACAGACCCGTCTTACCACATTCTCACTACCTCGCCATCTTACCATCAAACCTACTACTATCTCCTAGCTCTAACCCACCTTCCCGCACATCCATGATGCTCAAGCCTCCTTATCCACTCACCACTCCTTTATCCCTCCCCAGAACATTTGACCCAACTTAACTCCACACATCACCACACAATCCCGCAGTAACACCTCATCATACAGAATCACTACATCCATCCATAACCAACACCTCCCCCATATCAACGCAAGACCAGAGACCAAGCCCAAAACAACTCTCTACATTCACCAGATTCCAAGCACGCGTATTTGAATGCGTATGCGGGAGGCCAATGCGAGTGGGAGGTTCTTAGCTATAGACCAACTTTCTGTGAGGATCAACGTACGGTAAAGGCTGCGATCTTGCTGTAAACTAATACAAGCTGACATAAACAGCATGACTAATGACTATCACATCCTATCAAAACTCTCATCTTGGAGACTGCCTGTATCGTAATGAAGGCGTAGATTACTATAAGACGAAGGCCATTATAATCTATAAAACATGACATGATACATGAAAATGTACAAAACCCGGGGATATCAAATACACCCTTCGCTTCGTCTACCTCTAGACAGAATATCCTACTGCCTATTCCCTTTTACCCCCCCCCCCCAAGTAGGGCAGAATCCGAGGAAAATAATCCCTTGCGTCGCGTGACCAA